CTCCTGATGATGGGCCTCCTGGGGAGCTTGGTCCTGATGGCCCTGATGGCCCAGAGGAGAAGGGCCGGGATCGTGACCGGGAGCGACGTCGGAGTCACCGGAGTGAGCGAGAGCGACGCCGGGACCGGGACCGGGACCGTGATCGAGAGCACAAGCGTGGGGAGCGGGGTGGTGAGCGGGGCAGGGATGAGGCCCGGGGTGGGGGTGGGGGTGGCCAGGACAACGGGCTGGAAGGTCTGGGCAACGACAGCCGCGACATGTACATGGAGTCTGAGGGCGGCGACGGGTACATGGCTCCGGAGAACGGGTATCTCATGGAGGCGGCGCCTGAATGAAGAGGTCTTCCCAACTGCTCTGTTTGGACGCGTTGCCAACCAGCCCTCACTGTCATCCTCTCCCCAACCTTCTGGCCACCTCAGTTTGCCCTCCGAGGGTAGGAGTTTCTTTGTTCTGGCCCCTTGGATTTAAGAATAAAATTAATTTCCTGTTGACGGTGGGCACCTTTTCTTCCTCACTGCTTGTAACATCTCAGGTTGTCGCTTAACTTGATCACACTGCTTTGGCATGTGGTTTCTGGGTGCACCTAGTGTTTGAACATCATGGGCTGAGGCTCCCCAGGACACGTGCGCTGCTTGATGAGGGGTGAAAAACCCTCTTAACGGTGTTCAGCCCACACCCTAGCCTTTGCCCTGACAATGCTGAGTAGAAGCAGAAGAGGAACCATCAGCAACTGAGATTTCAGTCAGTATTCAGATAGCCTGAGGCCCAAATGAACACATGGATGAGGTCACCACTGAGAAGGAAGCCCTTGGCCTGGAGAATAGGTCAAGGCTGCAACCCAGCAAGGAGTGAGAGGAGGAGGAACATCAGTCTTCTGTGGCACCTGGGGTGTCCAGAGCTGAGGCAGGTACAGTAAGATGTTTTGGAGCAGTCTCAGCCTGCAGGGTGACTTCCCTGATAGCTCAGAGCCAGCCTGGCAGCTGAATCTGCTATGTGGGAGTCTGGTCTACCTTTTAGGGGCCTCAGTCTTTAATCACACCAAGAACACCCAGGCGTTTGAGGAAAAACTGCAACAAGAAACCCCAAGATTTAAAAAAAAAATGGAAGAAATTTTGGAAAAAAATACTTTCCGGTACATTCAAAGAGACTGACAGAAAAAAAAACTATAAAACAAAAAGACTGCCAGTAAGTTAACATTTTGGACAAGTCTGGCATAGACCACTCATACAAAGCTCAAACATCAAAACCTGTGGAACAGTCATGGAGGCCAGACCTGGCCATGTGATCCCTGTCGGAGGAGAGTGCACAGAAGGCAGTTCTTACCTACCCTTGCATTTGATTAGAGGATTGTTCAGCAGTTTACCATTGGGGGTGCTTCTCGAGTGAGCAGTTGCAGAGGTGGAACTAGGCAGGAAGAAGGGCACTTGTCCCTCCCCTGGTTACTGCAAGGCACAGTAATCCCCATGGTAGGATGCAGCTTCGAGGTGCCAGTGGAGCAGACTGCAGCCCCTGTGGGACTAGCTGGGAGGTCAAGTCACCATGGCATGGCAGCGCTGATAGAGATACGCGGATTACACATCAGAATCAGGCCACAGCCGGGTGTGGTGGCGCACCCCTGTAATTCCAGCACTCAGGAGGCTGAGGCAGGAGGATCATTGATAGTTTGAGGCCAGCCTGGGCTACAAAGTGAGTTCAAAACCATCCTGAACTGCATAGGGAGACCCTGTCGCCAAAAAAAAAAAAAGCCACAGCTGGGATCTACCAGACTTGAGCCCAAAGCTAGACTTCATCAGGGTTCTGGCAGTCAGCTTGCCAAAAGGGCACTGCCAGCTTCATTAGAGGAAGACGTTCAGAGTGTATGGCTTTCTGTTTGCAATGCTCAGCATCCACTCTAAAGTTACCAGCCATGCTAGAAACAGCTCTTAAACCGCAGGAATCCAAGAAGTTCAACAACTATGGTAATGCAGACTTTGGAGTTGAGAATGGAATGCAGTCAATAACTGATATTTTCACAAAATAAGGAAAAATGGAGACTTTTAACAGATTTGGGTTCTCGGGTGGAAATTCTAGAAGTGGGAAACAAGGATACAATAAGTAGATTTAGCTGAATAGGCTCAAGGCAATCTGAAATCTTCCTGTTAAGAACACTAGAACAGCTAGGAATGGTAAGCAGATTTTCTTGAAAATAAGACACCATCACTTTAGGAATGAACTAAGGACGTACTTCACTAAAATGAAGGAGTTAAAAAAGATTCAATCCAGGAGAGAGGAGGGAGTTCTCAGGATGGCAGTTTCTACAAAGCAGGTGGCCCGGATGGAGGCAAGAGGACTAAAGTTTGTAGGAAGTTTCCAGAGAGAGATTCAATAAGATCAGTGTCATGCTGGAGACTTGGAAAGAAACAGTGTGGGAGAAGAAAGAACTGCTGCTGGCTGCCAGGGGACTCCGTGCCAGCTACTGTGGAGAAGCTGCATGAGGACCTGAGCCCGAGGAAGTGGACGATGTGATTCTTGACCCTCAGGTAACCAGCCTTCCCTCGTGGTGACAACTCAATGGGAGGCCACTGCTTCAGAGCCACTGGCTGGGAACAAGTATCTGGCAAAAGAGATCTGCAGGTCCCTGGCCCAGAGCCGTGCCTGGGAGCGGTGGAAACAAGGGATACAGTGGCCTGCACAGCCATTCAGTTATGAATCAGGGCCAAAAAATAAAAAGAGGTTCACAAAAACCACAGAGAAAGTGAGAAGCTGTTGAAACGCAGTGTAATCTCAGAACGTGACTACAGTAGAGTGACAGTATTGTAGGCTGACATCCCGTGCACTTGATAGGAAAACCAAAAACTCCCAGCTTCAGAATTCTCGGGACACAGGTGGTTCAAACAGGAAGCAGTGTGTAATATGTTAGCAACATGTCAGTCAAGAAATCAGGAAATACCATGTTATTTAAATACAGAAACAACAGACAACATCTGTAAATTACTTTTTTTAAAAAAAAATTTGAGACGGTCTTGCTATGTAATCCAGACTGACTTCAAATTTATAATCTTTCTGCCTCAGCCTCCCACATGCTGGGATTAAAGATGTGTGACATCACATCCAGCTCTTGAGGGAGGTAGATTTAGGAGAGATTCAGAAGTTAGTGGGTTTTTTGTTATTCACTCTTAGCTGTTTATTTTTTAACTCCATAAATACATGACTTTGCAAGGCCCAGCTACTTGGGAGGCTGAAACAGGACTGCCCTTCAAGGCCAGCCTGAGGAACTGAGTTTGATCTCAAGTACTGTGCCACACACACCATGAAAAATAAATACCTGAGCTGGCCAGACAAGCCATCCTGTTCTAGTCTAGCCACTGATCAAGCTCTTTCCTGGAAGCCACAGCCCCATTCACCTCGCCTGGAAGTCCATGCACAACAGGCAAATTTTCACAATTCCTCAGTCTCCCCAGAGCATTTCTCTTCCTAAAAACACTCCTGGTTTTTCCCCTGGGGCCTGTTCACAGCACACGCCCCACTCTCCTGACTTGGGAGTGCTGTCCTAAGGCCTCTGTTGGATTCCCCTGCCCCGTTTTATTTGCCACCTGTTGTCCCAGGTCCCTAAACTGCATGCAAGCCACAGGGTCCTCAAATTCAAAATACATTCTACCCTCCTCCAGCAGGGCCATCCCAGGAAAGGCACCAAAGTGTCCCAACACTGCATTCTCCACCACTGCCCATTGGCCATCTGGTCAAGGCCTGTCACTTGCCCCATCTGCCCGCAAGCCACAGGGAGCTTTTGGAGACAGTCTATACCTCCCAGCCAGTCTGCAGGATGGCCACAGCAATCCTAAACTGCAAACTGAGGGCCACAGTCTTCTCCCAGGAGTGTGCGTGGAGTCCCAGGTCCTCACCGTGCAGATGCCTACATACAAGGCCATGCTCGGATGATCTGCCAACTTCTACATCTCCATCTTAGCCCCACTCCACTCTTTCTGCAATTATCCTCCTTGGGTACTGGGACTTGAGGCCAGGACCTCAGGTATGCTTGGAAAATTCTTTAGCACTGAGCTACACCTTCAGCACTTATTTTTTAATTTTTGAGGTAGGGTCTCCTAAATTCCCCAGGCTGCCCTTGAATTAGCAATCTTCCTGCCTCAGCGTCCCAAGTAGCTAGGATTACAGGCAAGTGCCACCATGCTCTAGGTGCCACCCCTTGCACATTTTACCTCTCAGGATTTTGTCAGATTAGCTTTTTTTTTTTTTTTTTTTTTTTTTTTTTTTTTTTTTGAGACAGGGTCTCGCTGAGTAGTTTAGGCTGGGCATGAAGTCACTGTGTAGCCCAGGCTGGCCTGGAACTTAGGCGATCCTTCTGCCTCTGCCTTCTGAGTGCTGGAATTACAGGTGTGCCCCACGACGCCCGGTTCCACTCAAATTTTAAGCACAGCGTCGCTACTTGCCTGTCACCCCCTAGGCCGGGAAGCCCTCAGGCAGCGGGCTTATTTGTCTTGCTTACCTTCGTGGCCTTGCTGCTCAGGGTCTGTTGAGTGTGGAAACCTGGGGAAAGGACGGGGAGGGGATGGACAGGGGCACTGGACAGGGCGGAGTGGGACTGAAGGAGATGAGGACATGCAGGCCCAGATGCTGTGGCTGCACAGGCGCGCGGTCCCACACATTGGAGCTTTACAGACTGTCGCCGCGCCGGGAGCGGGGCGCGCGGGCCGGGCCTCCGCAGG